ATCAAAAATATCTTAATTTGTTTTCCGAAGATGAACGAAGGTCTTACAGGTTTGAAACGACATGAGGGTGAGCAATTAATGCCAGAATTAAAATTTTTGGGTGAACTATCCCTTTAAGTCTGTTGTTCATCCAAGGTAAAATGGAGTAGAGAAATGAATTTAAAAGAACACAATTAATAATCACCATGAGGACTGAAAGAAAAAAAAATTTGGTACTGGCTAGTACAACTGCTCAAAATGGTCAAAGTCAGTAGTTTCAGTCAAAATGCTGTATTATACCACCACCACCAAAAAAAAAAAAAAAAGTTGTCTTAATCAGTCTGTCTTGTTGCCCAGTAACAATATCTAAACAGCGTCAAAACAACATACATTTATTTTAAAATTGAACAAGATATAAAACTTTTAAGTTATTTTTCTTACATTACCGATGTTTGTTTATATAAACAAAATAATGTGGTAAGAGAAGCAAACTTAACTGAATATTCATTCTGTGAAAAGTCTTTATCTTAATTTTCCTTGTTTTTACTCAAAATCAGGATACTTTAATTGTTACTAATTAATTTGTTTAAGAGTTATAAATGTCATTGAAGGTCAACATCAGGTATGATAAGTTATGTCATTTCATGTGGAAATAAAATGGCAAGCAGTTGTTTGTAAACCTTCAGCATCTACATCGTTATGACTTCAGAGATGATTTACACACACTAGACTTTGAAACAGCTGACCTCATAATCAAAGCCAACCGAATGTTTACGTCTTCCTACCTGGCCAAAGAGCTGATTATTATAAAAGTCTGGAAACAATACAAGCAATGGAAAATTCCATCATCTAAGAACTACAAGGAAGGTCTAACCACAAAAAGGAGGGGTTATACAGGTGCGCGGTCGATAGGTTCACATGCTCTGGTGTTATATCAAAAGCACGGATCAAAGTAAATCCAGGCGGTTAATAGGGAATCCTACAGAACAACAAACCCAATTCAAACCAGAGCTCATTTAAAAATCAATACAATTGCAGTGCAGTTTAATCCCTCATTTTGTAAGAACATAAACAAAACAAACAAAACTGTTGTACAAAAAGTACCAAATCTGAATATTTGAGCAACTCTTATGCCTCTTGCATTATTAAAAGGTCAAAAAAAATTTTTTTGGTTAATGAGTCAAACCAAGAAAAGCATTCAAAGAACATTTGAACAAAACCACCTCTTCATGTCAGACTCTCCAATAAAATGTCCACAGTTTTGGCCCTCTGAAGTCAACGTTTGTGTGATCACTCCACACTCATGTTATGCCCTCTGCTGACCACGACTTCAAACCGCACGTCCAACCAAACAACCTCACTTTTTGAATGGACTTTAATAAAGAAAATAAATCCTTAGAAACAAAGAAAGACAAGCAAATCAAAAGTGAAAATAACTTTGTACCCACCTCATGTGAGCCAAAACAGTAAAGTTCTGTATCACTCAGATACCTTCAGTCGGCCGCCATTATCAAAAAGTCTTTTACAAAACAGCTTTGGTCCAAGAGGGGGTGTCAACATTCAAACATGAGGTAAAACGCTCAAATGTGCAAAAGAAAGTAACAGGTTTTGAAAAAAAAAAAGGAGAGGCAAACTGAGCTGAGAGAGTAAAAGAACCGGGGGAAAAATGTAGTGTGGAAAGTTATTAGAGTATGAGAGTGTGAGGCAGTCGGTGAGATCTCTAAGACCAGTGAAAGAAGGTCACTTTAACACTAGAGTGGCTTCAGTGCCGTCTTTCTTTTTCAGATAGAGGCCGTGGGTCAGGTGATGTTCTCGACGCAGGTAGGCGTAGAAATAATCTGACACCAGGAGGATCTGTGGTGGTGTAAACACACATGACATTAGGTTCATGTAATCTGTAAACTTCACAGTGAATTTTCACAGTACTTTTTTGTTTACCTTAAAGACTTGCTGCTCAAAGTGTGAGCAAAACAGACAACGAACCAGCTATATTTCCAGTTGTGTTTAGGTGAAATGGCTTATCAAGATGGGACCCTTTACCTGTCCAAAGTTGAAGAGCAATGTGATGGCATAGTAGAAATTAGAGTTGGCACTGCCAGCGTATATCCACAGATGCCAGAGTACAGGAAAGAGCGCGGAGCACGCCAACAGCACACATGACACCAGAAAGATGTTTCTCAAAACTGAAATAGTGAAAGAGAGAAATAAAGAAAAATAATTTCTACAAAAAATGCATTTCTATAATTCAATACTTGTAGTTGATTTCTTTAAAAATTCAATACTTGTAGTTGATTTCTTTAAAAAGCTTGCTAGCAGATTTCAGCCTTATCTAGATGCACAATATCAAACTGAGTGCATGTCTATACAGGCTTCAACAGAATCTGCGCTAGGGTTGTGACGGTGTGGAACTTTTCCCACCGGTTAATCGATGTGTGACAACACCGGTAATACCGGTATCACCGTTGGGGTGGGGTTGGGGGTGTTAGTTTCGTTTGAGTTTTCCTCTTTTCTTCGCTTTCATATGGCTTGTAAAAGTGCAGTGCGCATTTTACTTTCACTTTCAAATTAGCAATTCGCCGTCAAGCAATTGTTCGTTTGAGTTTTCCCTCTTTTCCTCGGATTTCTTGGCTTTCAAATAGCTTGAAAAAGCGACGTGCGCGTTTTACTTTCACTTTCAAATTAGCGGCAATTCTGCTTTGATTCAATTCAAGCAACAACAACGTCAAACTCATAGAACTTTTATTAACAAAACGAATAAAAATACACCATATATGCCTAATAAAATAACAAATTACTTAGGCTACACAAAGTTTAAATAGGTATATAAAACTGAAAATCAGCAAACAAATAAGAAACATAGAACGTTTATTAGCAAAACGAATAAGAATGCTTGGAGGCACGGCATATACACCTTGATGTAAAATAAAATAAATAAAATACACAAAGTTATGCTTATATATATATATATATAAACAGAATATACTCCACATTTTATTAATTCACAGAGAAAAATAGTTTGGGGTCAGTAAGATTTTTTAAAATGTTTTTGAAAAAACTCTCTTACGCATAAAATAAAATACAACAAATATTTAATATAGTATAAAAAAAAAAATATTTGTGAAATATTATTACACCTTAAAATAACTTTTTTAAAAATCTGATTAATATTTTTGTATAAAGTGCAACACAAGTATTTTTTTCAGGTTTTTGGATAAATTGAAAGTTCAAGACAACAGCATTTATTTGAAACAGAAATATTCAGTAACCGTAAAAATGTTTTTACTGTCAATTTTGATCAATTTAATGCATCCATACTGAATAAAAGTATGAATTTCTTTAAAACAAATTCTTCCCGACCCCAACCTATTGTATGGCAGTGTATCAATATGTAATGCATTAAGAGTGTACAAATTCATAAAAGGTATAATTTATGAGCACTTTCACATTACTAAAGAATCAAAATTGAGAATTCAAAATTATAAATCGAGGTTCTGTTGCCTGTCTTTTAGCTTATATGATGTGTACTCCTAAAAACTGATAAAATAAACTTTTAAAATTTTAAATTGACTTCTTTTCTAAAAAAAACAGCTCAACTGATTATTATAATAAATAAATAATATTTTTTCTTTTCTTTACTTATTATCACCTGTCTCCGACTAGCAATAGTAAGTAGCAAATGGTTCATGGTTAAAAAAAACCATGCCCTTTGATATGCCTTACTCCATTTATCTGTTTCAATAGCAAATCTGTCAACATATTTAAATGAAAACTGATACTCACATCGATAAAGGTGACTCCAGGCCGGCAAAAATGCCATGTAGAGGGCGACATCTCCCACAGTAGGGTACGGTCTGTCCTCTAACTGAACTAGGCTAAATGATTTTTGTTACTATAAAAAAATCAAAACGACGGTGGGGGGCGGTGCCGCGGTGACGTAACCGGTGTTGCGGCTTAACACCGGTATAACCGAAAACACCGTCTATGTCAGCAAGCCTAATCTGCACTCAAAGAATTCAACCGGGAGCTCTACATATTTCTGCAGAATTTGAATAATAGTCATTCACAAAGTTCTACAGAAGCTTAACTCCTTGCATTTGTGTTTATTAAATAGTTTGAAATTACAACAATGCTTTCGGCTGCCAAGTGCAGTGCCTCAATTAACACATTTTACCATGTTTAATTTAGATTTTCCTATGAAATCAGTGCAGAAAATGTGAAAATTGTACACGTTATTGGCAATCTGCATGAAGATGAGGAACACTGGATGCTCCCTGTTTGATTGAATTGTTTACCCATAAGAGTGCTATACATGCTAAATAAAAGCATTGCTCATGTTCAGGTATATGCAGGACCTACTTGAGTTTGATGGAGAGCGGGATGGTGTAAAAAAAGACATTGATCTGAAAGACGCAGATGAAGAAGAGACGGAAATGTTCAAACATCTCAGCAAAGAAGTACCAGAAGAGTCCGATGTTTGGAGTCAGGTCTGGGACAGAAAATCTGTGGAATACACACACAGTAAATATTTGAATAATAAATACATATTTAAATATAAGTGTTCGGCGTATGACTGACATGAATCCATAGACAGAAGGGATGAAGTCCCAGGAGCCCAGGAGGAAGAAAGAGAGTCCAGTGATCACCACCAGACTGCCTACATATATGAACGCATACTGAAGAGTGAAGAACCAGAAACTACTCCTCCTCAGGTTCACTGGGATATATAACCTCTGAAACAGACAGAGAGAGAAGCTTCATTTTGGCCATCAGAGCAATGTATCGGCATTAGTCTGAGTTCAGACTCTCACCTGCAGGAAGAATAGGAGTGCCGGAGCAAACAGGGTCAGAGGATAGATGGACTGATATGTGGCCAAGGCCAACAATATGCCACTCAACAAGGCACTACCTGAAGAATCCACAACAACACCACATATAGTAAACCACAGATAATTATTAAGTGTTTTTCCTACAGCAAAGTAGAAGAATGCAAATCAGGTCTGGCCCACCTTTAAGTGTACTAAGGGAACACTCACCTTTTAATGTACAGAGAATGAAGAGCGCAATAATGGCATTGTTCAGCCCACAAGTTGACTTTGCCACACAAGACAGGATGGTGAAGGGATTTAACAGATAACTGGAAGACAATCAGGCAAATGAAAACATGTGCCTTACTTTTCTGGCTGAGTTTCTTTTTTAAATGAAAAAAAAAGTGATAGCATAATAATTATTTAAAGCCTGATCAGGACTTACAACATGGCAACCTTGAGGGGGATGTAGAACATTTCCTTGGGAGAGCGGAGGAGCTCCAAACAGTCGGCGGGATACCGGTCCGATTCCAAGGCATACTTCTGTTTTCTAAACTACAAAGTAAACAAAGATGCAAGATATGTTTATCTATAAAATATTTAAAACTATAATATAAAATAATACTAATAATATTAAAATACAATGAATTAATAGACTCTAACCTATGAAACATCAACAAAAATACAAGCTATAACTTACCACATTCTTGTTATAAGTCTGAATTGACAGATAAAGAGCCACTGCCGTGATTCCATCTGCTATCTGGTGACAAACCATTATATGGGAATATTTACATGTGTACAAGCATTGAATTGTACAAAAACACAAACACACAGTAATAGTTACACTGTAAAAAAAATTCCGTAAAATTTACAGTAAAAAACCGGCAGCTGTAGTTGCCGGAATTTTACCGTAAAAAAATACGGTAGCGACGTTTTAGGTTTTAACTTAAATTTAGAGTTAAATACCGTAATTTCATTAACTGATATAATGTTAATATACCAAGTTTATTGAAGTACTGAAATCTGTTTTGTACCTTTGTAATACACTGATAACCACCCAATGCAGGTGGTGGAAAGAAAGTCACACGATGAACCAAAGCCCACCGCAAGCAGTTTTTAAATATTTACATATATAGAAGGTGCACAGTGTCATTCACACAAACACTAAACACCATCATGGTAACACACATGGAACTGAAATAATGCAATAAACATTCATTTAACAACATTAGGTGTAACACACAACTAGGGCTGCACGATAAATTGCATGTGATATTTAACGCACGTCTTGTCAGAAAACCGGTTCTGTAATCAGCGGTAAATCTCCATCACGTGCGTGCTTTCACATTGAGCCAGCATTAACTACACAGAGCCGTTGTTCACTGACGAGCTGCGCAAAAAATTGCGCGAATATGAACGTGGTTTTGCGCAGCTCGTCAGTGAACAACGGCTCTGTGTAGTTAATGCTGCTTCAATGTGAAAG